CGGGGGGGGCAGCGAGCAGGTCCTCTGTCTGTGCTGTCAGACGTCGCACGGCACCCCCCCTCCTGCCAGACATGTCACACGACACCCCCTTCCTGTCACACAGCACCCGTCTCCTGTCAGACATGTCACACGACACCCGTCTCCTGTCAGACTTCACATAACACCCCTCTCCTGTCACACAGCACCCCCCTCCTGTCAGACATGTCACACGGCACCCCTCTCCTGTCACACAGCACCCCTCTCCTGTCAGACATGGCACCCCTCTCCTGTCACACAGCACCCCTCTCCTGTCAGATGGCACCCCCCTCCTGTCAGACATGTCACACAGAACCCCCCTCCTCACACAGCACCCGGTTAAGGGCTGGGCTCTGCCAGGCGGAGAGAGCGCACAGGGGGTTCGCGCGAGGGCTGCCGACCCTCCAGGACCACCCTCAGGAATTAGACGTAAATCTCCACGACGCTGCCGAGAGTCACCCGGGAGATCAAGGATTGGGCATCCATTAAAATTAATATCCCATGTTGAATCCGATTTGGACAGCAGTCCAGTGGGTGTTTCAAATGCAAATGGCCATGTGCATTGGCCTTTCTGCTGTCAAGTCGACGCACTGTAACGCGTGATGTGATGAAACCACCTGGAATAGATTCAGAGCTGGCAAGCCTACTCCACACGGCCTGCCCTCCTCCTCCTCCTCCTCTTCTTCTTCCTCCTCCAGCAGAGGCTCTTGGGCTGGATAGTGCCTGCTGGTGGGGATGGCTTAAATAAATTCAGAAGAGCCTCCCCCCAGGCAGTCCATGAGGAATAGCTGTGCAAAAGAGCTCCCTCCCCCTCTAGATAAGCCCTTTATTCATACCAGGCTCAGCTCCCAGGTGTCCAAACAGGACCTTAGCTCTGCTTTGTCACTTACTCAAGTGTAAAAGCCCTTTGAGGGGTGAATAGTACCTTGCCTTTATCTACACTGCCTGCCTTTGAGCTCTGTAAGCAGAATCAAGCCTGTAGGAAGCATTTGCGGGAGTTCAGTTTTATTCAAATGTGTGGTTTAGACCAATCCTTGAATGCTTCAAACAAATGTAAATGTTTGCATGCATTTAGAAACCAGCTAAATTCTTCCGGCTGGATTCTCCAAGTTGTTACGCTGCATGATGTAGCAGCCCTACTGAAAGCAGGTGAACTGGAGCAGCAAAGAGACTCTGGCTCTTGCTCACGAAATCTGTACTGACACGTTTTATAACGCTGGGCACAATCCGTTTCGTTTAAATAGGATGTTAAAGTTTGTTTATGAAAAGTAATGACCTGTAGGAAAGCTTCCATTTTTACTCTATGAAAAATGGAAGATTTCCTAAGGATGGTTACACTTTGGGGCCCTGATCCAGCTTTCACAGACTTCAGCTTGACCTTTGCCATTGACTGGGCAGGTTCTTTGCTGGGGAAGATCCGAGTTTCATTCCTGCTGCTATGATGTTACAGGTAACTCCAACTGCAGCAGGGAATGGCAGCTGTATCTGTCATAGGGCTTGCCTTGGAGATGTAGGTACCTAAAACTTCATCTGGACCCTGAAGATAGTTGATGTATGTGGTTGCAGTACAAAGTAAAGCTTCTTTTTCTTCTCCATCAGCATGAACAATAGGACAGAAGGAAATCCTTGCCACATATTCTGTTTCCTAAATGACCTACTTACCAGGTGCTCAGCCACAACTTAGCTTCGATCTACAGCGCCTAGTAGGATCCCAAAGTAGTCTGCCATCCGACTTCTGCCAGGCCCAGAACTGCTTAGCTTCCAGAATCAGGAACATTCAGCCCAGTATAGCCACTTGAACATTTAAGCACATGCATTTAATCAGAAATAAAAGACTTATTCCTGCAGACAGCAAGGCATGAAGGTTATTTTTAACAAAGGCATATCACCAAAGTTAATATTTGTGTATATTAAATGCTAGGTCTGATTAAATAGATTCAAATACAGCAAAGTTGAATTTCAACCCACATTATAAACTCAATTATTGATCTAACATGAAATCAATCCATTTCTGAAATACCAGAATGATTTCATAGCTGTGGCACTTTGCCCAGAGAGCAGTCTTACTGGAAGGCTTCTAGCCAAGAGCTTAACTAATCTGATCAGCATTCTTGCACTTGTGCCTTTCAGATGAGATGTAAATACAGGACCTGGCCATGAGACATTAAAGATCCTATAGCATTTTTCTGAAGAGTAAGGAAGTTTGCCACTGTATCCTTGCCAGATTCCAGGAATAGCAACATTCTGCCAGCCTAAATTTCAAGTGCTTGCAGTTTCAGTTGCATAAAAAAAAAATCTTTTCCCTATTCTGTTTTGGTGATGCAGTGCACCAAAAATAATATTAAAACCACCATACAAATAAACTGATATCCTCATAATACCTACATCTTTTTATTTAAAAAAAATTACTTATAGTTCAGGAAAGTGCACTGATGAAATCAAGTCAGTTACAGGAGTTAACAAAATGACTCTGAACACAATTTCTTTTGCAACCTAAGACATTGTCCACCATACTATCTCAGTCCTTAATAATAAACAGTTTGTACTTTCAGAGTGCCTCCCTTCTGAGTTGTTGCAAAGCACTATGCACATGCAGGGCATTAATACATCAAGTTTCACAATAGTCTTGTGTGGTAGGTGTCAGAGGAGGAAAACTGACACAGAGCAATCCTAAAGCGAAGTTTTCAAAAGTGGACCCTGAGATTGGGCTACTGTTTGGGGGCATGCAATTCAGGTACTTACAGCCTTGATTTCCAGGAGGCAGTCAATCTGTTGTACTACTGAAATTAAGCCTCTTGTATCTTGAGATGGGCACCCAAATATTGAAACACAGAAAATTCTGCTGTAATGCCTTGTCCACATTCACACAGTAAGTCTGTGCCGAAACAAAAGAAGAAACACAGTTTCCATCCACATGAATTCAAAGTTGAGTAGGCTTCCCTAAGGAGGCTGTATGATGGTGCTTCTCAGTTAGGTGTCCATGGGGAAACAGTTTTGTTTGCTTATTTATTAATGAGGACCCTCCTGTTTCCTGATATAAACAAATACTTAGAATGATAAACATATACGCTTAAAAAAATTGGAGTTCAGAGACAAACTTGTCAGCTTTTATGCACATGCTTAATCTTATGCACACAAGCATGGTCATGGTGAACTCAATGGAATGGAATCAGGACCAGAATGAGCAAGCAGTGATGCGGACCCTTATACCGTGGAAGCAATAACAAATCTGGCATGATCCGAAAATTTCCAAGTGGCTTGTTTTTCCATTCTAAATTAAGTACTTTTGAATTCTATAAAATTACTTTTAATCTATCAGTTATTTACTTGGGTAACTAAGGTGCAAATTAAGAGGGGGAAAAAAGTTGGGCTAAATATAGAAAAGCAATTATTTAAATTTCCTAGCCCATAGAGGCAAGTCTGCCTGAGAGAGAAAGGGTTACTCCTCAGCCTTATTCCACAGGCCTTTAGTTACTGGGCTAGAGCATCAATTATAAAGATAATCAGCAGCTGATTTCCAGTCACAAGGCCCTGTATCTAAGCACACATGCAGATTCTGGCCTAGAGCTATCAGTCTTCAGGGGAAAAAAAAGGAGGGAGGGGGGAAAGAAAGAGAGAGATTGTTGGAGAATGAATGCAGTTTTTAAAAAACAGAATTTCTGTCTAGCTGGCTTGTTTCTTCAGCTCTCTGCAAGAAATGAGACCAGATAAATACAAAGTAATGCACGTACTATATCATGTCATTTACTAGAATACTATTATATACAAGACTTAACTTTATATTTCTTTTTGCTATTTCTGTTCTTGAACATTGAAAAACTGGATCCTTTCTGAAAAGCTGCTCTTTCTGTTATTGTTTTCTTCTAAATTTGAACATTTGAGTACTACCTACAAATGAAGCATACTTTTATCTGTTTGATTTGGTTTAATTAATACTGAGGCAGAGCGAAGAGTTATTCTTTCTTAGCAAATATAAGGAGTCTCACAAGCCTTTTAGATTGAAAAGTATTGTAGCTGGTAACATGTGGATAAAACTGTATAATTACTCAATAATGTATGTATGCCTCCTAGGCTGTTAACTGTGACCATCAAGGCCTCAGTCTTGGAAGTCCTTCCCTGCAGACAAGACCTCCATAGGTGCGTGGAAGCCCACATGTTCAGAGTTCACCTCCAGCAAATTTGTAACTGATAAATAAAAGTCACTTTCAATTCAGATTAATGACTATGGGAAGAAGACTCTGTCCTCTCGTACATCTCAGCTGCTGAAATGTTCCCATATAGCCACAGGCAGCTAAATGTGAGTTAGAGATGCTTTAGACTGTACCCTAAAACTGGTTGTATGCCAGGGGAGAAACAGAGGTTAGGGGAGGTGGGTGACTGATTTAATGCCTTTCCTTCCCTGCATTACATGTCATTTGACCAGACCAGAGGCCAGCTTCAGTTTCTTAAAGAAAGCCTTTTCTTTATATGT